TGTCGCATGTTGTCTACTGGGGTGATCGGTCCTTTGGATTGCATTCCGTGTGAGTCCATTGTCTGTCCTTCCTCTATTTGAGTCGCGTGATTAGTGAGCCTTGATGGGTGATCAGCATGTGGAATGAATTTACCTGACGTATACTGTATAAACGGCTAAAATTCGCTGATTATCATTGCCCAACGTAATAACCGGGGATTTTTCAATGTTGGACTTTTTAGAATGAACTCTAGACACTGAAACAAGCTCTGGCTAAATAATGTCTAAGCTTCTGCAAGGTGCAAATTAATGCTTAGGTTACACGGTCAGTTGCCGACCAACAACATTGTGTAGGGGTTAATTAATGGCTAAGATAGTATATAACAATTTCTTGGCCCTGGAAATTATCTTGGACTAGTACCGCGCCTACCGCGTGATTACTCGCATCGGTATATAGCTTATACGGTTTATGTATATCTGGGTACGCGAGAATCGGAGCTGATATCAGTGAAGCTTTTAAGTGTTGGAATGCTAGTTCCGCCTGTTCACCCCACATAAATTTTGCGTGTTTCTTCGTTAACATAGTTAATGGCATTGCTATTTTAGAAAAATCTATTATGTGTGCTCGATAATATGAAGCCATCCCGAGAAACAATCTTACTTGTTTTATGGTGGCGAATGATTTTAAGTTTTTAATGGTTTCAATCATTTCTGGGTCCGGCTTGATCACTTGGGGTGATATAACATGACCCAGGTAACGTACGCTCTGCTTTATAAAGTTGCATTTTAATAGATTGAATTTTAAACCAGCCTGTCTTAATCAATCAAAAACAGTTTGAATCTCTTTCAAATGTTACGAAAATGTTGGGGATAACACTACGATGTCGTCGATATAGGGCGTAGCACAAACATTTAATAATCCTTTTAAAACAGAATGTAAACGTTTTTGAAATGCACCAGACGCTCCTGACAACCCGAGAGGTAGGTAGTTCCAAATTTCAGAATTAGTACACGTTACAGTACACGTTTTTAGCTTATCCTCGGCATCCAGGATCTTCAAATATCCGCTTTTTAAATATAAAGTCGTGTAGTTTTGAGATTTACCTAAACATGATAAGAAATATCTTGTATACGTGGCAAAGGGTATGAAATTTTAGTTGTTAGTGCATTTAAACAGTGAAAATCTATGACTAAGCGGCCCGTAGGATTATCGCGTTTCTTAACCAGAAAACAAGGGAACGACCAATCTGATGTTCCTTCCTCCACAATACCTGCTCGTAATAATTTCTCGAAGTGCTCAGCCATTTTCCTTCAATACAGTAAGGGAGTTCTATAAGGAGCTTGTTTCACAGGGGCATTTTGCTGAGTTTGAATTTCCACAAGATGAACAAGAATTTGAACAAGATGAGTGGACCCAAGCTCATAATCGGAGTTTTCAAATAAATCCCGATTAGCTGTAATTAATTGTTCTATCTCGTTACGCTGAGTCTTAGGTAAATAGGTTAGCTTGACCAAGTGACTGCTATTTTCTTAGTTTGTGTTTCAGACTGTTTAGCCGCAGGCATGTCATTTGCATCTTGCGACGTTGTGACTGATGCAACCTATGGAATGTATGACCTAGTGGGAATTTGTATAGGTGTTTATGAACATGTGCGTGGAGGGTAATTACGGTATACACGTGTATGTGCGAATGCATGTGTCGACGCTATACGCTGTATATAGGGCGCTTTGTCATTTGAGCGATTTGGTGAGTACAAGGATAATTTGGTACCTTGTTCTAGAAATGAGTTCGTTAGTGTCGCATTATACAAAGGAATTTGTGTCGTGGTTGCTACTGTCTGCTTTCTATATGAAGAAATAGTTTTAGTCTTTGGTTGTTGCAAATGACCGGTACACATACGTGTAGAATTCGCTGGAATGTTAATCGAGGTGGTAACAATGAATGTTTGGGCCGCCTTTGAGTCTAAGATAGGTATGGCGGAATTATTTATTATCAAAAGTCACTGCGCACAATTTAATATAACCCTATGGCATTGGAGGAAGTCAAATCCCAGTAAAACGGTTTGATAAAGGTCGCGTACTATGAAGAATGTATGGTTAACTGTTAGATTAGCAATCGAAATAGGCAGAACCGTTTTACCGAGAACAAATATATCTCTGCCACTAGCAGATCGCAAAATTTGAGTATGCGCTGACGAGAAGGTGTGTATAAATTTTGATTTTAATCATTGCTAAAATAATTAATTCATAAGGAAAACTGCCAAACCCGAATCTATAAGTGCATGAATTTCTGTCTCGGTGAGTGACGCAACGCACATAGGTATAATATTAGCGTTTGTCGTACTCGGAAGTGTATTAGGTATAGTTTTCTTTAAATGCGAGTGAGATGCTAGTGTGAGATTCACCGATCTGATCGTCTCGCCTGGCGGAAACTGGTACCGGCATTTACCGACAAACGAAATGGTTGCGGCCGTGGACAGTTTGCCCATAAGTGACCTGGGGAATTACAAAGCGCACATATTGGTATTCCCGTTGACGTATAGAGAAATTTGGTATCTCGTCTCGGGGCACTTAATGGTTGTTGAGTTTGTCCTTGAGACGGATAATTAAACCGAGAGGGGTAACGTGAAATATATGGTTGGTGGACAGACGGCATGAACGGCTGACGTGAATTAGTAAACGTTTCGCGGCGTGGGACATTTTCACGTTGATTCCAGTTATCTCGTATACGGTTATTACCTTGATAATTACGCTGCGGCTGTGGATATTGATATGTTTGTCTGTCCGGTCGCGTAGCTTTGTCGTATGTCTGTTGTAAATTTGCTACAATCTTCTGGATATCATTAATTTGTCGCTGTATTGTGAGTGGCTCTGTTACAGAGATAAGGGATAAGTCTGTCACGTCCGTCGACTTCTGCGTTCGCATTTTAACCTCCATTTCCAAAACCATCTCATCATTAGAAATTTGTACTGCTTTTTTTAATGTAGCTGGTTTTTGACGTACCAAAATTTTCTTTAAAGAGTCTGAGCTGCCACCGTCAGTAAAAGAATCAACAAATCTAAGTTGTAAACTCGCATCGTTATTATTTAATTGACCGAATGCCATTTTACCAAGGTGTTCTAACCTTTTCGCAAATGACTGAACAGATTCTGAATGTCTCTGTTTAGCTTTCTTAAATTTTTTAAAAGCAAGCGGTGCTTCGCGCGCATCTGTATAACGCTGTTTTAGTATTTCGAAGAAATGTTTCCACGTTATAGCAGGAGAAACGCTTAAAATTTCTGCCGCGAAATTGGCGGCCTCCCCATTAAGTAAGTGAAGCGCTAGTCTAATACGTCGTTTATCTTCTGTCTTATCCAATATGTAACAAGTGTGAAATATTGTGGGCCCACTGAGTAAAGGTAACGGGCGTATTATCTGTTCCGTTAAACTCTCGATAACCTGATACAAAGTATAAGTATAAAGTAATAACCATTGTATCTCCTTGACTAACTGTTGCATAGGTAATTTAGAAAATGAAACCTCCGCCTCGTCGTCCGAGAGGTCTAGAGACCGATCAATGTTAGTTTATGATAACAGGGAGTGGGTAGTCGCCATGGTTAAACGTTAATGTAATGTTACACACTTAAAGGGTATAGAATACTGTTACGGGATATACCTTACAATACGTACAATGCAAAACAATCCGCAGACCAACCAATCAGTACGATAAAGGCATAAATTTGCACTTACAAAATCATGGTGATTTCTCGTGGCAGCGTAGATTTCGTATTTGCGCTCACACGTGACGAATGCAGATTGTAAATGGATAATCCGAGTATATACAGGGATGCAAAAAAAAATATATTAGCAACATACAATAGCTGTTTAGTAATTATGCTATCTTACCAAAACTTATATTCACGGCACCAGTTGTAATGAGGCTCGTGTCGTTAATAGTGGCCAGGTTCGTGACTTTTGGCGCGTGCAAGATGTACCATTAGATAGCACGATTAATAGACAGACGAATAACGTATGACAGAAACAAGAGGTAACGTGCAACAATTAGTTCTATTAATCTTTTACCGAGTAATATACAATTATTATAATACCTCTAGGGGCATGGCGCGTACACGGGTCGTAATCTAAACAATAAGCACAGCACAATATACACTGTACAATAAACCGTAGTACAAAGTAGTTTATCAGTTTCAAAGTAGTTTACACACACAAATCAAAGTAGTTTACACACCGTATCAAAGTAGTTTACACACAAATACAATAAGACAAGGCAAGCTAACCATACTCACATCTGGCGAAGGTGACTCTGCCTTTCTGTTCTAAAGTGGACCTTTTTATATCATTAAGTAAGTCACGCGTTTGGCGTTTGGCTTATTGCTTTCACAACTTTCGATAGGGGGAGAGAGTGACCACTGTCCTAGTGCCTTGGCACTAATGAGCCGGGTGACTGATTAGTCGCCCGAGGCAAGTCCCTGTCACCGAATCTGCCGGTGTAAATTCTTATAATTAAGTATCTATCTATGGCTGAATTAGCTTCATTACACATGCAATTGTTTCGGCTTTGTCCCTGTAGGGGTGTCTATTAGGTTCTCTCGCCCTTGCAACTATCGCTGGCCTCCGGGCACGTGCGTGCGAGAATATGATTTTAGTGAGAGGTAAAAGAAGCGACCATGCACAATAAATTTGAACTAGTGATGTAGATATCACACGCACGAATCGTTTATTACGAAATAAAACACAAATTATAAATCACAATCAGCTTGTGTCGTAATTACGTCCACTATAGTTGAAGGGCTCTTGCCTATACATGCATGCGTGTTCTCTCTTCGAATAAATTCACTGCCCCTGATAAATTACTTCTCGCTCTCCCAACACTACATGGTTAATCGCTCTGAGACTCGCGTATAAATACGAGACATAACTACGAAGCAAATCTATTTTCCTCTCGATCATATATACCGGTTTCTATACACGCATATATGTATATATATATATAGAGAGAGAGAGAGAGAGAGAGGGAGAGAGAGAGAGAGAGAGAGAGAGAATATATAGATAGATAGTATATAGACGTATATATGTCATATATGTGCGGCGCGATGCAATCAATATTAAGGCGGTTATTAGTGCAACAGCTGTCATCGGGCGCTCGGCGGTCAGATAAACGAGAAAATGTGATAATTTTGCGAGCTTTCTACATTTTTTTACCGTCTGGCGATCTTGAATGCGAACGATAAATATTAAACTCGAGCAGACGTCGAGATGCGAATATCGCATATCAAAACCTCGTTATCTACGCGTAAGTTTTCGCCATGTTCACCCCTCGACAACTCTTCATTTTAGAGCCTTTTACTTTGCGGTGTACTTGTGTGTTGCAGAGTAGCATTTGAAGGGCATTTACCGAAAATTATCAGTAACAATAGGCGAAAGAGAGTAGATAAACATTAAGACTTTGGTAGTAAAGCTTGTGTTTATTTGCCATCATATTATTATTGAAACGTTTTGAGTACTTGTAGGCCGAAGAGCAAGCATTTCATTTGACGTACTCGTGCGTCACTCTGTTGTGGCAGGTACAGCTCTGTCGAATATAATTGCACTTTCTCTTGCTAAAATTATGAAACTATTATTATTATTATGAAACTATTATTAGGATACTATTATTATGAAACTATATATTACCGCTCCACGGCAGTGGTTCTGTGCACTGACATTTAGAGGGCGTATACGCACCCGTATATGCCAGCGTACGCGTTATGTGCACGTCAACACTTCACCGCCATTTTTATCAACATTAGCCACTGCTATCAAAGCGCATTCATAGTCGATCCGAGATCGTCGGTGCACATTCATGAAAGGCAGCGGAAGCACTTGCACCCAGTCGGCTCGTAGATGACCACGTCGTGCGTGGCGACTTCTAACGGGCTTTTTATGAGCTCTCCCGTTATCGGGATGTAACAGTTCCTTAGCCGAACAACTTTTTCACTCAGTTGCTCTTCCCGGCAGCAGCGGCATGACTGGAACGAGAGAGGCAAGTAAAGTAATTCCGTTTTATGGAAATGTGTCTCGTTTAAAATAGCATAGCAAAACACGCGGACTATGTTTATCTATATTGCTCCCCCTCTCCCTTCTCTTCTTCCCCTCTCTTCATTTGCTCTCTCTCTCTATATATATATATATATATATATATATATATATATATTATATATATATATATATATATATATATATATATATATATCGAGCTTTCTCTTCTATTCTCTTCCCTCTCTTAACTATCATCTCCTTTCCCTCGCTATCCAGGTTCCCTTATCGCTAACTCTCGCTTTTGCATTCAATTTCACGTTCTTTCTCCCTTTTTTCTATTTTTCTCTCTCACTCTTTCTCTCTGTCTGTCTCTCGCCATCGCCCGATCTCTTTTACTCATCATCCACCCCTGTCTCTATCACTCTCCATCCCCCCTCTCCCTTTCTTTCGCTATTCTCCCGTCTTTCTCTCTTCGCGCTGTCTCACTTGTAAATCATCATTGCGTATCGAACGTATAGTTCATGCGATCATTAGCGCACACGTACTATATAGCTCGCAGCATATCTCGCCTCTCGAGCAGGAGCCGTGTATAAATTGGGATTACGCCGCGCGCACCGAGTCCTTGTTTACCTTCAGAAATCCGGACGTGGCCATTACGCTGGGCGATTCCTGCGAGCGGCAATTGCCCTCGCACTTACTCACCGCCACCGTGTCAACGCACGTCTTAATATGCTTGCCTTCCTCGTTGACGACCTGCAACAGGTAAGCATTACCTGTGAATGTTATCGACGCGAGCGATATTCTTCCTCTCTGCTTGCAATCTCGAGATATTCTCCTCGATCCCCTTCCCCGTTCTTCTCCTCCTCCCTCCTCTTCAACCTTCTCCCTCCTCTTAATCAATCCTTCTAGCATTATGTCTTTCTGTTTATGCTCATTCTACAGAGGGACATTCCCCTCGCTTTTTTCCTCCTCATCCTCCTCCTCCTCATCCTCCTCATCCTCCTCATTCTTCTCCTCCATCTTCTTCTCATCCATCTTTCTACCATCTTTTTGGCGTCTATTTCCTTTCTGCGCTGGTAAATTCTCCAATTCGTCCTCCGCCTCCTGGTGTGTTATCTTGCCATTCGTCACCTTATTTCGTCACTTAATTCGTCCCCTAATTCGTCACCTAATTCATCACACAATAATAGTGCGATATATTTTCCGCCCTCTTCTTCCCACACTATTGTCTTCTGCATCATATCGCATCTAGAAGCGAAAACGTAGGTGGAGAGCGTAGAGGGATGACAGGGAGGTAAAGGAGGTGGATGGGAAGGGTATCACGTGCCAATGTCACGTCTTTGTTATTTATCGCTATTTGCATGCATGCCGTGTTTTAACATAACTCCACTCCATTCATGCCCGTCCGATGCCATAGGGCGCTATATGGGTACTTAAATTACCCGTAATTCTATTCATAGAAATTTACGAATTATAATTTCTGATCATATAAAAAAAATCTCTAAAAGTTCATCCAGTACTGTTTTTTCCACCAATCCCACTTGAGCAATTTTACATTTCCACTTGTCCCTCCGGCGGAAATCCTAACGATTAATAAGTACCGGTAGTTGTTATATAGTAGCTGGCAGCGCCTCACATACATCGCGTAGCGTCTGACGTCACATCGCGTGCGTGTACCTGCTTCTTCATGCGTAGTGTGGAGGGCAGCGTGTGGCAGCGGTCGACGGCAGCCCGGCTTTGTGCGTGATCAAGCACCGTCAGTCCGAGCAGCAGCAGTAGTAGCCAGGCAACAGTGGCCCGAGTCTCTTGCATGATCTGCGTAGGATGCATAGGTGCGCTCATCAATGTTTTGTAGCTATTTTACTCTTCCCCAAATTT